TGTCACTGAGGAGCTGTACTGGTGAGAGACCAGAGGCTTCACCTGAGCAGCAGCACTCAGACTTTAACCCTTGAACGGCAGCTTCAGCACCACTGCTGGCTCCCCTGCTGACATTCAATGGTCATAGTACTGTTAGACCTCTGTTTTTAACCAAAATCCTCACTCTAGGATCACTGTCTCATCCATCACTGAGCTGTTCCTGAGGAGGCACTTGGTAAGACAGTGCTGCCCAGTGGGAGCAAGGCCAGCCCCAGTGCCCCGTCCCAGGCACGGACACTTGCAGAGCACCTCAGACACCACTACAGAAGTTCAAGCTGGCTGGCACAAAGAAACATTACTGTGTGCTAAAACAAACTAAATCCAGCTAATTGAGGGGAAACCCTACTGGGACCAGTCAGCCCTACTCAGCAGCTTCTCAGGTAACGCTGCTTTTTCCAGCCAGGGCTGAACGAGATCAAGTCGTGATACAGCCATATGCCTTTGCTCTGCCTGCAAAACAGGTACCCCTCTTCCTAAAGCCAAAACTTTTAGACTGTGTCAGTAGTTTTGGTAATATTTTTAATTCCATGAGCAGCCAAAACCAAAATAAATAGCAACCTTATTTGCCTGCCTGCAAGGAGCTATTTAATATCAATCTCCAATTACTGTACAGGAAAATAGTGGGTTTCTTTTAGGTGGTTGTGGTGTTGGAAAAGACTCAGCTACCTTTTATGCTAATTGGTAGTAAAGTGTTTGGAAGTATTTATCAGTGTTTAATTATTTAGAACTCTCTTAATGGCTTAAATATAATTTTAAAAAGTTATAAATATTTTCCACCTTGTCCAACAGAAGAGCTGCTCCTTGGAAGGCTTAAATGAAGATCTGTTTATGGCTGCCTGCTAGTCACAAAATTACTTACAGTTGTTAATGCTCTGGTCCTTTAGATGTCCCCAACACAGACTGAGCTTAGTTTTCACAAATCAGGGAAAGTTTATCTTTGTTGTATTCATTTTACTGACACAGAAGTCTTAAAGAGGATTATTATAGGGATCAAGACATTAAAATATGTAACTAATCACATTTAAAGTAATTGTTTTCATAATAACATGTACTAAGGGATGTTCATGTAGAGTAAGACCCTTTTACACTGTTTCGGTAGTGTTAGTATGACTTACCATGCAAATTACATTTAAGATTAATTAGAAGCAGATGACACCAAGTTGGGAGGGAGTGTCGACCTGCCGGAAGGCAGGAGGGCTCTGCAGAGGGATCTGGATAGACTGGAGAGATGGGCAAACTCCAATGAAATGAAGTTCAACAAGGCCAAGTGCCGGGTCCTGCACTTTGGCCACAACAACCCCCTGCAGCGCTACAGGCTGGGGACAGAGTGGCTGGAGAGCAGCCAGGCAGAAAGGGACTTGGGGGTGCTGATCGACAGGAGGCTGAACATGAGCCAGCAGTGTGCTCAGGTAGCCAAGAAGGCCAATGGCATCCTGGCCTGCATCAGGAACAGTGTGGCCAGCAGGAGCAGGGAAGTGATCCTTCCCCTGTACTCTGCATTGGTGAGGCCACACCTTGAGTATTGTGTTCAGCTCTGGGCCCCTCAGTTCAGGAAGGACATTGAGGTGCTGGAGCGGGTCCAGAAAAGAGCAACGAGGCTGGTGAAGGGACTTGAGCACAAGTCCTATGAGGAGAGGCTGAGGGAGCTGGGGTTGTTTAGTCTGGAGAAGAGAAGGCTTAGAGGCGACCTCATCACTCTCTTCAACTACCTGAAGGGAGGTTATAGCCAGGCGGGAGTTGGTCTCTTCTCCCGGGCAACCAACAATAGGACAAGGGGACATGGGCTCAAGCTCTGCCAGGGGAGGTTTAGGTTAGATGTTAGGAAAAAATTCTTTACAGAGAGGGTTATCAGACATTGGAACGGCCTACCCAGAGAGGTGGTGGATTCACCATCCCTGGAGGTTTTTAAAAAGAGATTGGATGTGGCCCTTAGTGCCATGATATAGTAATTGGAGTTGGATCAGGGGTTGGACTTGATGATCTTGGAGGTCTCTTCCAACCCTACCTATTCTATGATTCTATGATTCTATGATTCTAAAGCCAAGTTGCTGGTAGAGAAAATGGGAACCTGACTCCAAGCCTCTGAAGCAATAATTATGTTAAATATTTCAAAATTACGTCAGCGATTGCCATGTCAGTAGACAGAGGGGAACTTACCTAAGCTCATAATTTCTCTCTTCATCCCAGTGTTAGAATTCAGGACATTTATTTTATCAGCTTATATCAGCTTAGCTATTTTTCTCCTAATTTTCTCTTTGGAGTACTTGAACTCCACACAGGTTATTTTGGTGTCATCAAATCATACACCTCTTAAAGTAGAATTGTGTGCCATAAAATTAAAACAGTAATTCCATTTATTTGGGAGAATACGCATTCACTGTGCCATTCTTTTAGGTAACTTATTGCAACCAGCTCTGTCATGTTACTTCATTCACATTAGCTTGTGGGGTTTTTAGAGACCCCTCTCCCAGTTATTCTCTGATTCTGTTGGCACCTCAGCTTTTGCTAAAAAGCAAAAGATAAAAGGCAAGGAGAGCAAAATAAATCAACTAATATACAGAAAGAAAGACAACGTCCCATACAATCTGGGTTACCCACTGGAAGTCATGAAACATGCCTTTTCCAGCATCCAGGGACTAGTGGATCAGAGCGGCTTTAGTTTTTAACACGAAGAATCATGACAGACTCAGTGGTTGTTTGTGGAAAAGGAAAACAAAGCCATCCCTCAGCAGTGCTTAATGCTCCTATCTGGCTGCACAGGAGCATTTATTTGCTGGGTTTCAATACTCATGACCTCCCAGTGAAGTTGCTTTTACAAAAGCAAGGGCAGAAGCATATAGGTTTTAGGCACACAGGCAGCTTTGTGGCATTGGGTACAGAAGGGACCAGATTTTTCTAGGAAACCTCAGACAGGTGTGATTTACACAACTCTCAGCATTTTCTGAAAAACTGGTATTTACATATAGCCAAAGGGTCTGGAACCTTACAGATTTCACAATATGTATATTTTCCCCGAGGAAAAGAAAAGGCCTGTGTAAGTTAGCAAATTCTGGCATTTATATCTGATATATTAAATGGAACTGAGATATTAAAATATTCGGTATTTTCTCTATTCTTCTTGAAACTTAGTTTTAATTTTCACTGTTTTATTCAAAAGGAAGGCATAGAAATAGCAACCATGAGCTTAAAATCAGAGCTGTAACAGGGACTTATTATAGACAATATTTTGCAGAGTATTTCCAGTTACAGCTGCATGCTTTGAAGCTGTCAGCAGCATGCTGTTTTTCAAATAACCCTTTTTGTTGTCTTGTAGTTTTCTTTCATAACTTCCAGTCCCAGTGAATTGTTGTCAGTTTTAGCATTCAGCTGTATTAACAAGAGAGAGAGAATGAAAATACTATTTTCCAGCCCAGGTAAGAGGAATTTACCAGTGGGGAGGGCAAAGTCAGTGCAGAAGTTCTTTTGCTTGTGTTTTGTGGGAGTATGTCAAGGAACAGAGCAGTGGCCAAGGTGGAAACTGATGTTTGAAACGCATTTCCCACAGTGGATAGCATTGAATTGCTTCATTGCCCTGAGGCTTTGAGGTGGAGAGAAGCATAACTGTAATTATAAGAAAAGAAAAGGTTGATCATCATACTGGGGCTTTTTCTGTTTTCAGGGTAGGTGCAGGGAACTCTGATTAATGACAATAATAGCTACACTTATAAGCTCATCGAGCTCTACTAGGTATAGGGATGTGCATATTTTTCCCCAGCAGTTCTGACCATCAGTGAATAGAGGCATGGCTTCTTCCACAATCTGATGTCAGGCAGAGGGAAGGATGTAGAGCAGCGGCTGCTCTCTGGAACAAACGCAGAATGAACAAGTAGCAAAATACTAATGTACTGTTGAAAGGTGAAATTAGACATACGTGATTCAGTGCAGCCTACGGGGTCTGATATCTTGGCAACTGCTACAAGATATCCCCAATCTACAGACAAAATAGCCTTTGTGAAGAAGCAGAAGATTGTAGTGTGCAAGTTAATGCATCAAAAGGCCAGAAAGAGAATAATTCACTTTCACCTTGCTACAGAGGACAAGCAGCAATAAAAGCTGTGCACTATTGGCAAGCTTTTTTTGTTGCTGTTTTTAACTCAACCCTCAGTTCAGAGCTACAGCCACCTTGGCAATGTTCCAGCTGAAGCTGCTGACATCTCCCACCTAATCAAGTGCTGGATTATCTTGTCCTGATAAATTGAAGCTGGTGCCTCATGAAAAATCTTTCCTGAAGTACTTCAGTACCCTGTAATAAGATGGCAGATATCTGAATCAAGCCCCAGAGCAGACAGAACACTGTTTTTTCTACTGGCTTTTGGTGGCAAGTGTAAAGGTTTTAAGGCAAGGTGGTGTTGAGCTGGGAGCATGGTTAAGCAGGATAAATTTCACATCTGGGTGAAAGGAATCTTGAAGGTGTACTGAATACTGGTTCATACTGAGTACATACAGGCTGCACTGCTAACCAGAAAACACTTCCCCTAAAAATTACTTCTTTCATGGGTGGAGCTCTGAGGAACATACTTGTTTTGAAAAATAATTCTCTTTGGCTGCTGCACTTTCTAAGAAGAGTTGGAGTTACTGAACTATTAGAGACTTGCGTACTGTTCTCAGTCTTTTGTGACTCAATCCCTGGTCTGAGCCATTCAGGGTAAATAAGGTTTTTTCTTTCTTTAGCATATACTAAGAAAAATGTTAATATTACAGAAGCAGGGATGCTCTATATGTTGCATTTGTATATTTACTTTGACAGGTAAAACGGCCAGGATAAATCTCATTAAGATAAGGGTATTACTTGCAAGCATTTGTTTTTTTCTCTCTTGGTTTAACTCCTGGAGAAAAAGCAGCAGTTCTCAGTCAAGAAACATCTTTATGTATCACAGTCACCTATACTGTGCCTCTTGTAACACTATGTTGCTCTTTTTCAGGGGAATCCCTACATGTGCAATAATGAATGTGATGCAAGTACCCAAGAACTGGCTCATCCTCCAGAACTGATGTTTGATCTTGAAGGAAGACATCCCTCCACGTTTTGGCAGTCCACAACTTGGAAGGATTATCCAAAGCCTCTTCATGTTAATATTACGCTCTCCTGGAACAAAACCATTGAGCTCACAGATAACATAGTTATCACTTTTGAATCTGGCCGTCCAGACCAAATGATCCTGGAGAAATCACTCGACTATGGACGAACATGGCAGCCCTACCAATACTATGCCACAGACTGCTTAGATGCTTTTCACATGGATCCAAAATCAGTGAGGGATTTATCACAGCACACAGTCCTAGAAATCATTTGCACAGAGGAATACTCTACTGGGTACATGACAAATAGTAAAATAATCCACTTTGAAATTAAAGATAGATTTGCTTTTTTTGCTGGACCTCGGCTTCATAACATGGCTTCTCTTTATGGCCAGCTTGACACAACCAAGAAGTTAAGAGATTTCTTTACCATCACAGATCTGAGGATAAGACTGCTTAGGCCAGCAACGGGTGAAATATATGTAGATGAGCAACACCTGGCACGCTACTTTTATGCAATTTCAGACATAAGGGTATATGGGAGGTAAGTGAATATATAACTTCAGAAACAGGCATGTGTTTGATTTTAGAAGTTATTCAAAACCTTTTATTTCCCTAAACATGATGACATTTTCTGTGAAGACATGTTCATTGGAAATCAGGCTCACCTGAAGGCTGTTTCTGGTCATATTAGAAGTTTCTGACTCTCACAGGACAAAGTCCCGGGTGTTCGCGGGCACTAGCCTTGGATCTTGAGCCCTAGGTCTCGCAAGCAGGATAGCATTGCTTCTTATGTTGGCTCAGGAATTCACCCTGGCATTGGGACACTTTCTTCTTTTATGTAGTTGGGGCCTGCTCTGAGAGCAGTTAACTAAAAACAGAGATTCTGTTTTATCATTTGACTTTTCCAGGCCTTTAATGTAAGCTGTGATTGGTACAGCAGCTCTTGCATGAACCCTTCCCACTAGGTCCAGCTGTGAACAAGGAGGGCAGCAGAGAGTAGAGTCCATTCCTTGTACTTTAATTAGCTCTGAAATGCAGTGAAGCTGATTTAAAATGGAAAAAAACCCCAGTGTTTTAGAGAGACTGATTTGAATATAACAAAGATGATTATTCAGCTGGATTCAAGACAAAGAGTTCCCTCTAGGGCAAGCGGTAGCCAGTGTCAGGTGCTGTAGTCCCAAAAATAATAACTGTGTGATGACATTCCTATCGGGAAATCGTCTTCCCAACTCAAACTAGCAATTGACTGATGCCCCCAAGAAGGAGGGTGATCCTTTTACATGTGTCTTAGATGCCAGCTTGTTCCAAAGAAGTAAACGGGATCATCTCTGTTAGCAATTCACTCACCTCTCTAATATACCTTATCTTTCTCCTCTGTTTCTTCTACAGAGAGTTGAAGTCTTTCATTTTAAAAAACTTTTTTCTTTTTTTTTAAGAGAAGCTAAGTATCAAAACAAATGGAAAAGCTAATGCATCTTGGAAGACCAGGGGTTCTCATTGCAGACATGGAACTGAGTGAAAAAAAATAGTGACTGTGATTATATAAAACACTGGTGACTATATTTTTATTATTTCTGTGGTGAAAATCAAAATCATCAAAATATATTTCTTAGGACTGTAGATTTAGTATGTAGTTACAGTCTTCTGTGTCCACACCAAATACATACCCATACATGAAGGATCACTAATTTAACATTAGAAAGTATAAGATAAATGTTGCTGTTTTAAGAATTCTTCTTGTAATACTCATTAGTTACATTGTAAATAATATTTCCAAAGTCTTTTGGGAGGGCTAAGTGGATTGTAAGCAGCTTAAGATACTGTTTGAATTAGTTTGATAAAATTAGTCTCAGTGTAGAAAAAAAAAAATTACACCTATGTTCTATTTAATGTGTATCCTTTCTCTGCTGGGCTCCACATAGGTTAGCTCTACTGAGGCATCATATCAAAGCTCAGGATTTGAAGATCCTTAGGCTTTAAGCCTGCTCCCCATCTGAAAACCCATTTGGAGCTTAGTCTGACTTCAATTAGACTATCAGTACTTTATCAAAGAAAGCATCTGAAGGATTAAAAAAGAGTGCATTGCATGCAAATTAGAAACAGAAACCTTCTGAGAACATCTGAGACTCAGCAATCTTGTGAAAAATTATCTATAGAAATGAAGCATGACTGTACAGAGAACTTATCTGATGCTGATGCTTGTTGTCTAAATGCTGCAGTAATTGGACACATGCTTTAAAAGAAATATCTGATAGGTAATAGTACCTCACTAGATTAGATTCGTGTGAATTCTTATCACTGTTTTGCTAATGAGAAGAACAGCTCTTTAGGGATTTGGTGCGGTTTCCTTCAGTATCTTGTTAAAGACTTCAGGGCTTGCTTACTGCTAAGTAGCTGTGGGGCTGCAATACACAGCTCCTGGTTGTTAAGGTGCACCAAATGTAACTTGCAGTTAGCCCACTGTCACCTGGTTTTAGGTATTTTTTTTATCTCTACCAAAAACATTTTAGCCCCCTCCAGAGTCTCCCAATCAGCATTCCAGGCATGTGCCCTCCTAGTGGAGGGAAGCAAGGGTTACCAGGCTGGTTGTGCCACTGTTTCTGATTCAGCTGAGCTTTCCAGCTGTTACAGCTTCATTTAGGATGTTAACTGGAAATTAAGTTACAAATGTATTTTATTTTGCTACACTGTTTCATATTATGGGCTTTGAGACCCAGATATTTGTATACATTTGGTAAAGATAGCTCAGACTATTCCATGAAGATAGGATACAAAGGGACATTACCAAGGAACTTGACATGTAGTGGATGAGTGATGCTAGCAGACACCCTTTAAAGCTAGTCCTTTTTCTGAAAAACATAACCTGTAGGTTAAGTATGGTTAAAGTCACCAAAGTTCATAATAGCATATTTGTAAAGGCAGCATAAAATGTAATTTGTTTCATAATGTGTTTTAAGGGACAATGACAGTGAAAAGCATCTGTCTTAAAGCCACTGTGTTAAATATACAGGATACTGGAGTGGTTAATACTTCACAATGAATTATTGGTAGGAGATTTGCCCACTTAATATAGGGTTTGTTTTGTCATTGGTTTGCATTTTGGTGTGAAATAAGGCTGATGTATGTTGCATTAGAGATGAAAACCTGTGTCCTCTTAATGAACACCTTCCCTCCTCTATTACCACCTGTTTATTCATCTTCAATTTACCACTTCCATTGTGTATTTATTAAGGTGATGAAAAAAGGAAACAGGGCTGTTAGCAATTTCAGCAACCCCATTGTGCTCACATTATTCAAGAAACCTAATAATCCACATGAACTAATTCTGACTTACTGATGGTCTGCTTCACTAAATCAGGGTGATTTTTTCTAGTGAATAATGGACGTTGTAGTGTGCCAGTACCTTAATTAAAGAGACCCTCTCTTAGTCTTGATCTTATTTTAATTTACAGGGTAATACTACAATAATATCACTAATGGAAGGTACATTAAAGGGCATAAACTAGCATTAACTGTATTAAATTATGGCACTTGTGTTAATTAACTGCTGAAGCAAGATGGTCCAGCGACTAGAAAGGTCAACTAATGCATAAAGAAAGTCTTCTGGGATGGGAAGCTAAGAAAGAGCAGACATTTTTCCCCTGGTCTAGCCTTGCTGCAGAGGATCAGAGGATGTCCTGTGCAGTAACCTCTGGAAGGTTTCTCTCACTTTTCTGCCTGCAGAGATGGCCTGAGCTGTCTGCAGGCTCTGCCTGTCTCTGACTCCTTGTGAAGAACAGTCCTGGCAGTAAGCCATGAGGTACAGCTTCCGTTTTCAAACATTTTTTTTTGTAGAAGAAGTTCACTAAAATGCTGATAATAATTCCTTTGAAGTCAGGCAAAAGGTTCCTAGCAGATTTTGGATCAGACTGCTAAAGGTTTAACAATGTTCATTTTAAAGTATTTTTGCTCTAACTGTTATATTTTTAGTGACATCTACATTTATACACTGTAAATTAACTGTAATTTGGGATGCTAGTAAAAAAACCATTGTCCCAGTGGGTAACAGAATGACTAGATGCCTAAAACAAAGGCTCTTATTGCTTTTGAATGATTATGTTTTGATCTAAGAGCCACCAGTTTCTTTCTGACACCAGAATATCCAGCCTCTGTACAATGTTATTAAGCCCTTTGGAATTTATTTTTATACTCTTCTCTCCTTGAAGCTTCTGTATTTAAGCCCCAGGGTTTTCTGACCCCATCTCAGCTATGATTCCTGTTCCAGCAGCAAAAGGAACCTCTAACTCACAGTACACAAATGAAAAGTAACCTCAATTTTAATACTTTCTTGCTCTCACATTCTCTCTCCTAAATTTAAATCCATCTCAGAATCTGAATAAATTACTCCAAAAGAAAGTATATTTTCTACTTAGGGGTTTGGGGCTTTTCTGTCTTCTTATTCAGCCTACCCCTCCTGCCAGTTGTGACCCTGAACCGCTCAGTGAGGCTGTGGTGGCTTTGGGGTGGGTGAGTGCCCTTCCCCTGAGTGGGGAGCTCTCACTGCCACCTTCAGCAGTCCCACCGGGGAGGCTGGGCTCTACTGGTGGGCTCTACTGGGTTTCATCCTCTTGCTTATTCTGCCAATCCAGTCTGTGTATGGATTACTTGGATTAAAACTGCATGTAACTCTGTCATACACTTGGCATAATATTCCTCTGTAATTTACCCAAAACCATAAATTTTCCCTAGGGAAGTGATAATAGATAGAAATGCTGTCGTTTTATTTATAATAGAAAATGTTTTCATTCATGTTCAGCTCAGAACCAGACCATCAATATTAAGATACATAAGCTTCTAGCTTTTAAGGAGACAACTGAATACCATTCTTGCTTCTGATATTTATTTACTGTACTTGAATAGTCTTTGTTTTACAGGAACATTTGCATAAGCAGCTTGTTCTCCTTTGAGATTTCTACTAGTATTTGGAGGGAATCTAGCAGTTTCTCTGATTAAATTATGAACTCATTAGAGAACAGGAAAGAAAAAGAAATGTATGTATTTAAGTGTGTGTCAATTTATCTTTAACTCCCAAATGCAGTTTTCTTTTTTAATATATCTACTGTAATATGTCACTAAGGAAAGTGGTCCATCATTTTCTGTAAACAAATCTAGGATCATCAGGAATTGAAATAATTAAATGGTCACAGTGTATATTCACACATGAGCAGTCTCCAGTGGTTTACTCAATACAGGTGTCCTGGGTGGGTTTTACTCCTGCTTGTGTTCAGAAAATACTGGTTTCCACCCTCCATCCCAGCGACACATGTCCTGTCCATCAGCTCAGTGTGGTCGTAGTGACTGGAAGGGGAGCAGAGCAGTAGAGCCTGAATGCTGTCCAGGACTCTCATTCTGCTATATGCTTTTGAAACTAATGGGTTTAAATCACCAGGTTTCACTCACCACTCTTGCTCACTAGTATTTGATCATCTTTTCTTGGCTCGTTTTGCAAGATGTCAAGTATTTCCATACTGATTTCCCCCAACTGTCTTTTAAGGAAGCTCA